TGAATGCCCTTCATGGTCAGTACATGAGACTCAGCTCAAGGGCTTGGGCTGTCTTTGCATACAAGTGCGCGTACGAGGATTGCAATCTGAGATGATATCGCAGCTGATTGCAAAAGTGTGCACATGATTGAGCAGCAAAATACGAAACAAACACCTCAGCAGACCTATGACTGATTGCGATAAAGAAAGAAAAAAAGTTAAAAAAGAATTGTGGCTCGTCCTTACTTCAAAGAACAGAGGTCTTGTTCAGTAAGTCGCTGGAACCCTGATGGCGTCTCTGCGAGTCTGAGCGAGATGCAATCTCATCATAAGAACTTCAGAGAGAGGAACCACCACCCACACATAACATGTACCCAATCACGTATGGGATCTCTTCCTTCTTTTTGTTTTTACTGCAAAATAATATCAGGTTTTGTTTTTACTGCAAAATAATATCAGGTCAATGTGCTCCGAAAATTTAGCATTCAATAACTTCATCTCAGACACCCGGCGTTGTTGAAATTTTGCATCTTTGTGAAGCAATATCGTATTTTTTTAATCTTAGCGTACTTCGTGGAGTTGTGATTAGCCAATGCAGAAAACACACACTTGCAAGGTTGGTGACACTTGGTGTGAGTAACGTCAACCACTACTTTATCCATCGAGGAATCGTTTGCAGACTATCGGTGGGCGGGGGGGGGGGGTGGTGTCTTCCGTGCATTCGCAGAGTAGCCTGAATCTCGGCTCTTTTCTCTTTTGTGAGTGTTGGCTGCCAAGGGGGTGTAAGGGGGGTATAAATTGGCTGCAAAGGGGATAAAGGGGTTAAGCACTAGTACCTCTGCCAGTGTTGGGAAAATAGGGAAAACTGCCAGTTTTCGCAAACTCCTAAGGAACCGGAGGCCGGGCCCGATGACTGCTGCCATTGGTAAATCTCATCGGCAGCCGTCGTTTCGTTTCGGTCTTCCTAAAAGGTTGGAGGCCCACCTGAGGCCCGCTATTTCCGCACTGTGCAAAGGTACTAGTGGTATAAAGGCGGGTGGGTTATTCTGATTTTGTTATTCAACTTATTTTCATATTTATCTTTTATTCAATGAGGAATTCAGATGTGACCCTCAGCCAAAAGTTGTTTGCATTGGAAATCTACACAACATTCCGTTTTTTTTTTCCGGATTTTTTTTTTTTTTTTTTTTTTTTTGCGCTGGGCCTGTCAGGAACCTTGCCTGGGGGTCATGCCCAGCCGGGCAACCGGGCGTGAATCTGGGCAGAAGTTGGGTGCCCGGGAAAACAACCTAGAATTTGATAGTGGATTTTTTGACTTTCGAAGCCATTTCTTACCTTGTGCACCCGCTCAGTGCATGACAGGGGCATGGTGGTTGTGGATTAATACGATGATCAGTTGGGGTGGGTGGGGGGGACGGGGGCCGAGGGGGAAGCGATGATCGATTTGTCAAGGAAATTAGGCCCTTGGTTGAGAAACATCTGTTCCCTTTTGTGTGCATGCGTTTTGCTATGACCGACCAGTCGCCTCCTCATGAGATCAAGGTAGCAATGGAGAAGAAGCTTGCAGAGCTGAAGGAACAGCTCGCAGCACGTGCGCGCAATGTGCTAGAGCAGAAGATGACCCTTCGTTACAAGAGAGTGAAGTTCTTAGGTAAGCCATCTCCTCGTCGTTCACTTGTTCTGTCCTGTCGTGGCATGTGCACTTCCTCCCCTGGTCTGCCCTGTGGTGGCATGTGCACTTCCTCCCCTGGTCTGCGCTGCGCTGCATGTGGATCCCCAGTTTTGCTGCTGTAGATGCTTTGTTCTGGGCTCAGCCCTTTCTCTGTCATTTGTGCTGTGATTGGTACTTCAGCATCATGGGCGCTTTCCTCCACTTGCCGTTCTCGGTGCTTGAAGGGGTCTGTCACTGTGAGACCTTGTGAGGCCTTCCTTGTGCGCTCTTTCCGGTTGGATGTTGCAGTGACGAGTCAGTGGCATGCCATCTGCTGTTCTGTTTTCTGCAGATGCAAGCTCCATAAAATGGTGGTGTTGTGAATCCACACTACCGTCGTCACCCGAAGAGAACGCGTGGTAATTATCGCCATATCTGTGCTGAAAGTTGTGCCAAATACAGCTATACTGACCGGGCGTTATATTCGGGTGAAGACGGTAGTGATGGAGGGTTATGAGCTTATGATGCTCTTGCATGCGATGTTGTCACCCAGGCTGTCTGTCTCAGTGTCCCATGCCAGCTGCCCCCTGACTGTGTCCCAAAGTTGATCCCATATGTCCAAGTGTCCCTCTGTCACGGTGCCCCTGTCCTGCCGCCTTCTTCCAAATACGACATACAGTCATTATCGCTGTATATAGGGTATCTCTCACTGTAAATGCAGCTATTATGGCCGTCCCATATGCTGCATTCCCGGTGTCCCATGACAGCTCTGTCCCAGTGTACCATACCATCATGTGCCGGTCTGTTGTCTGCATGTGGTCCTGATCTTAATTCACAACTGTTCCATTGAACGGTCCTGATACGATGAATGGTGTTATGTCCTTCCTCATGGCATTGTATGGGTGCGTTGTATTTGGGGGAAGAAGGTAGTGTCCCTCTGTCCAAGTGTCTTATGCCAGCTTTGTCCCATTGGCCCTCTGTCCTAGTGTCCCGTGCGAGTTCTGTCCCCAGCTGTGTCCCACTGTCCCATGTGTTTCATGCCAGCTCTGTCCCGGGCCGTTTCCTAGTGTTCCATGTGTCCCAGCGTCTCATGCGAGCTTTGTCCCTTGCCATGTCCAAGTGTCCCGGAGTCCCATGCCAGCTATGTCCCACTGTCTCATGCCCAATAGCTCCAATCATGACCACTATAAACCAGAAACAAATAAAAACAAGTGGTGTTAGTAGATTTCCTGAAGTTTCCAGATTCGTCCAATTTTGTATTTTGGAAGTATAAACAGTAAATTGAAAAATTTGGACTACAGTTGTACTCGATTCTGTTGGTATTATTGGATTGTAATAATTATCTACAACTAAGAAAATTTCCAGCAAAAAGATAATTTCAACAGCAGGCTGGAAGTATAACAAACAACGTACGTTCGCGTATAGTATATTATAAAATAGTAATACGGAGGCAAGATAGTTTCAACAGCAGGCAGGAAGTAAAACAAACAACGTACGTTTACGTATAGTATACTATAAAATACTGAAACAAGATAGTTTCAACATCAGGCAGGAAGTATAACAAACAACGTACGTTCGCGTATAATATATTATAAAATACGGAAGCATAACCTGGAGTACTTGGACCATCTTTTTTTTTTTTTAATGGCACCATATCTTCAGAGTTGGTCCTCGCTGAAGGCCCTTCAGACAGGGATAGAGCTGGCATGAAACACTGGGACATAGCTTGCAAGGGAAACATGGGACACTGGGACACTGGGAAACTGCCGCAAACAGAGCTTGCATGGGCCATTAGGACAGAGGGCGACCGGGACAGTGCTGGCATGGGACACCAGGACATGGCCAGAGACAGAGCTTCAGACTGGACAGGTGAACAGGCGACTGTGCCGTGGAACCTCAGTTAAGGACTGTTTGCGGGAGAAAGGAGGGGGGGGGCATCATTTTTTTTTCCTGCATAATGAGCGGGAGATAGGTGTCTGTTGTAGACTCTCTTCTAACTGAGGGTATTTTGCGCGAAAGAAAAGAGAGAGAGAATCTATTCTGAATGAAAGATAACTTGACGGCGAAAAGTGATGTGGCGAGAGTGCTTTGGTGTAGGTTCAACCAGGGGTGCTCGTATAGGGAAGAAGAGACTCTGAGATCACTTTCCCATTACTAACTGAGGTTATTTGTGGCAGAAAGAAGGGAGATCGAGCGCCGAATGAGGCGAGTGGAGAAACAGCAGAGAATGCTTGCAGAACGTGGCGAAGACAAGGGGGAGGCCGCTGCGGAGCTGGCAAAGCAGATGTCTCAGCTGAAGCTGGACATGGAGTATGTGCGCGTGAGTGCACTGCAGCTCTGCCCTCCCAAGGCCAATTTGTCCCCTTTGCCCTGTCTCTTATACACATCTAGATGTGTATAAGAGACAGTCCCCAAACAAAAAGAAAGGAAAAGAACTTCCTGTCATTCCAGTACTGTTGCTTCGCAGTTTGATCACTTGGATGCCAGTTCCTCCCCCTGCCTCTTTTCTTGGCCTGCATCCCTTATAGCCATATCCCTCCTCGATTGACCCATCTCTTTTTTTTTTTTTTTTTGGCCCCTTGACCGTCTCAACTTGATAGGTACTCTTGTTCTGCTATGATACATGCTCGGTTGAGCAATGCATGTAGAGCCAAGGATCCGCGAAGTGATGAAAAGGACTCGAATGGACAATGCAGTGTCAGCAAAGCATCAACGAGCAATGTACATCCGGATACATATGAAAATAGCACAATGTAGCGCAACGGAAGACTCAAAGATATGACCTGACCTGTCAGATACTGATGCGACACCCCATCATACACCACACATGTGAGAGAGGGAGGAGGGACCACATACATGGAAGAAAGGTCCCTCCTTGAACACGCACATGGGGGGAGATACCACGGATGAGGAGATGGGGGGGAGGCAAGACAAAGATGGAGATGAGGGAGAAGACCAAGATCGCGATAGCGAAGTCCGGAAATAGTCTCCCTGCCGAATGTCCAATCAATGTCTGCCACAAAAATGTCGAATCAGATCCTGGGCCTCATGCCTGATGTAACCTCTGCCTGTAACCTCTCTCTCTCTCTCTCTCTCTCTCTCTCTCTCTCTCTGAAAGAAGAAGAAGAAGAAGAAGAAGAAGAAGAAGAAGAAGAAGAAGAAGAAGAAGAAGAAGAAGAAGAGGGAGGAGGGAGGAGGGAGAAGAGATGGAGGGCGAGACGAAGACGACGAAGAAGAAGAAGATGTCGTCCTTCTCGCTGTCTCAGATGCAGGTAACTGCCGCCACATACTGTGAGGGCTGTCAAAGCTTTCTTGGCCAATTGCAGGCGTGGTGGGTGCTTTCTTGTTAAGGGAGCCTTTGTGTTGTGCTGCAACTAATGATTTGGCTACTTGGTGCTTAACCCAAATGTGGCCAACCTTGCATCTTCTATTATATTGCCTTTATATTTTCTCTGTTTTATGGATGGTTTGTTTATGATTTTGTGGACGGAATGAGGAGAGAGTTTTGGGTGCTTTGACAACACACATATAGAGAGTCGAAACTCGGCAAGTAATCACATGGCCGGCCTATCACAACCATATTCAGAAAACACAGGAAATTGTAAAACAGACTTAGAATCGGAATCTTGAGCAAGCAGATTAACGGGGCAGCGTTTTCGCAGGAATGTTGAAGTTCTTGGACTGCAAGTGGGCATGGGTCATTTCACACAGTGCAAAACCGAAAAGGATGCGGAGAAGGTAACGGCTTGTCAAAGAAAACGATCGCGCTAAAAAAGAAAGAAAAAAAGGTTCGGTGGTACTCCCTCCTGTTTTCTTGCAAGCGAAGGTGCATCAGGTGACCTAGTTGTGTGGAAGTGTACCTTGGGGCCCAAGAGTGCGAATGCTGCATGCCCGGTCTCCCACAATCCGTATTTGTACGTTGCCGTTGGAGGATCAAAGCGTCGAAGTTAGGTGCTGTTTCATACTCACCGACATTTGGGATTGTCATGTCGTCCATGGGTTTGTGCAGTTTTTCCCGAAGTCCGAGAAGTATGTGTCGTTGTTCAAAGGAGATGACAGTGAGCATGTAGTCGCAAGACGGCAGGCACTGCGTGAAATGATCCGGGCGAACTTGGCTGCTGCGGCTGCGGAAGGCGTTGATCTCGAAAGTAAGTGCAAAAAATAGGGCTAAAAAAACAATGAGGGGGGTGAAAAATTATCTCCCCAACAACCAGCAAGAAGAGCAGCTGAGTCACAAGATGATACGCAAAAAGAAACGCAAATCTTGGTCCTGAATTCTTACACACGAGCTTCTTGTGTAGCCGATCAAGAAGTCTGGAGCTCAAAAGCTTATGGGGCACGATGGTCTCACGGTTATAAAATGTGTAAAATCTCCTTGTTCATGCAGAACCCAAGGCCATGATAAAACTAAGATCTGCCAAGGAACAGTCGTCAGTTCATTACTCAAAAAGGAATGAGGACACATCTCACCTTGAGAAGAACGGATTCAACTACGCGAGGATCAGTACGGTACCATTGGTACGGCAGATGTGTTGCGTCTTCCGTCTGATATTCCCCGAGTGATCATCGTGTCCTCTCCCTGTAGCCCCAGTAGCCATCACCTGGCAAAATTTGTCAAAAACTATCTCTTCACAGTTGCTGATCTTGGGCCAGTGCATGTTGATGGGTATCGCTGACCCTTTGCGGCAATCGGGTCACCCAGTGTGCAGACCCATCACCACCCATGTTGTCACTCATCGCCATGCCATCATGGCGATGGGTACCACACACCCGGGATCACGTTGCAGTTGTGGCGGTTGTTCCCCTGCTGTAGACGGCTGAGACAACTTGGCGATTTCTTTTCTTTTTACATTTTTTTTTTCCGGTCACTACCTTCTTCGCCCGAACGTTATGCTCCATCATCGTCAACGTATACAAACCCTGTTCTGGTCCACACACATTCATGACAGTGGGGTGTTGTGTTTGGGGAAACAAACCACTGGTCCTGCGTTTCCGAGACAAGTCGTCCTGTTATGCAAGTTTTCAAACTTTTTTTTTTTTTTCCCCCTTTCTTTCTTAATAGGGCACGGCCTTGAGATATCACCATTGAACTGAACGGCCCCAGGTAATTCAGAAGTATGTTATTTTTGTTGATCTGAGAGCATCTGGATTCGAACTCGGGTCTGCATTTCAACAGTTCATGGCTGTACCAATTGAGGTAAGCCTCATTGGTCAAATTTTCAACTCGTGATCGACAGCGTACTGGTTTCGGGTCTCCACATTTTAGTGGTTGTCTTACTTCACCACGGTAGTCCCCTCATTCTGTAAAAGGACCCCCCGCCCAAAAAAGGTACCTGTGACGAAAATCAAAGCAGATTATCACTCACCCACACCAGATGCAAAACTCTACAGACTGTCGGTTCAGACCATAGTTGCGGTGCACGTGTGCGGTGCGCTGTGCGCTGTGCGCCGGTTTAGCAGGGTGCGCACTGTGTGCTGTGCGCTGTGCGCGCGCTGCGGCCTGTGTGCCATGTGCGCAGGAATAAAAAAAATAAAATGCCGAACCCCCTCTTCCCCCGTCCCCAGCAGCCATACCGACATACCAGCCTGCAACCAGACCCCCCCGGCCCCCTGCAACCAGCCCCCACCCCCCCTCACCCTGCACCACCCCTGCTTTTTTGAAGTTTTTAAAGTTGTTTTTTGAACTTTTTTCCCTTTCATTACCGTATCCCCCACTTTAGTCCAGACTCCAGAGTCCAGACTCCAGAGTCCAGACCCTTTCATTACCGTATCCCCCATTTTAGTCCGCTCCCCGCCCCCCCCCTCACCCTGCACTACCCCTGCTTTTTTCCCCTTTCATTACCGTATCCCCCACTTTAGTCCAGACTCCAGAGTCCAGACTCCTGTGCCATCCCCTGTTACAGACAAATCAGAGGGGTGGGAGGGCTGCGAAGTTGCAAAGTTGCAAACACTCACCTGCAGTCGGAGTATGCACGTACCAGCGATGGCAGTCAGGGCATCCGTCCAACCACGCGGCAACATGGCATCAATGATCAAACGAACACATTCACAACAGCAATGAATTCGCAGTGCAGCATCCACAACAAAGAATGACGAACAGAACAGAAAACCATTGCGGAGCATCGGTTATGACGAACAGAACAGAAAACCATTGCGGAGCATCGTACATTCACCATTGCGAGAACAAAAATAAGCAAAAGAACAGTTTGAAATTTGGAACTTCAAATCTTCATGTCAGAAATACGATCATTGTCAGAACTCTGCACTTGGAGAATTGGTTACCTAGACTGATGAAATCATAGATCCAACAGCTTCCCTCTACTCAGCCTCTACCTGATCTTCCCCCTCTTCTTCCCCTCCCTCACTTCCTTCTCCGTTTGTGCCTTCCATCCCACTGGTGTGAGATGACGAGGAAGCCGACGAAGAACTTGACTCCGTGGACGTGGACGTGGACGAGCCTTCAGGCTCGTCCTCTTCCGGACTTTCTTCGGGGACATCCTCCTCATCGTCGTCACTTACAACGACGGACTTCTTGGCCTTCCCTCCACGTGCACTCTTTTTGGCAGCTTTCGCTGCCGCTTTGGCTTTGGCCGCTGAGGCTTTGTCAGCAGCAGCTTTTGCTTCAGCTGCTGCAGCCATAGCCTTCTCTTCAGCCTTCTTCACCTTGCGTGCAGCCTGTTTTGCGTTAGTCGGATGGCCCCTCTTCGGTCGTGGCTGTTCTTGCTGAACAGCCTTCCTCTTCCCACGCTGTGCGGGCGCATCATCATGCTCCACCGTTTGTTTGCCCTTATCTTTCCCTCTCCTCTTTGTCCGCGCCTCGTCCCGCCCCTGCACCCAA